AGACTAGCCGGCACTTATCAACGTGATGTGTTAAACAATGTTCTAGGAAATGGGGCTATAATCGATACACATATAGAGTTTATAGAAATAAATATATAACATATTAGTTATTTTGAGATGGTATAAAAGGCGCCCCAGTGGTACAGTTAAGCAATTGAATGCTAACCAAAAGGTTGGCAGTTTGAACCTACTAACTGCTCCAATGGAAAAAGATGTGTCAGTCTGTTTCCTTAAAGATTTATAGCCTTGGAAATCCTATGGGGAAATTCGGTCTAAAGTGTCATTATGAATCAGACCTCACAGGCAATGGGTTTTTTGGGTTGAGATACTTTATTTCTTTCCATTGTTGAGGGTCATAAATGAAGACTCTCCAGTTTAAATGACAATAGTCCATATATGACAGCTCCAACTCATAAGCTCTTGTATTTGAATCATTTCTATTGACTGCACGGGCTGGGACAATACATTCTACATGTCAAGGAATATTCTTAGCCCTGTGCTATGCTTGACTTCAGGATTATGGTGATAAAGACATCGACTTCTAACAAATCGTTAAGCTCAGACTTCCGGAACTCAGAAGTAATAGCTTGTGGTACCTTTCCTTATGATTAAACATATAATAATGATTATGATAATAATAAAAGAAACATCCATACTCTTCAAAGGCAAAATGGTTTCTGTAGTTTGGAAACTCTGACTTGTTTATTTTATTAATCATGTCACCTTTATGAATCTACCTTGAACACAAGAACTGCAACTACAGGTTACTTAAAGAACAACCAGGAGTTTCAGACATTATTCTTCACTTCACAGATCCTCTTCAATTCATAGGCAAATGTGTTTGGGAATCACTCAGCCAACCAGTTAACAACTGCTTCATATAAGATATGTTGTTGTTAAGTGCTATCAAGTCGGTTCCGACACATAGTGACCCTGTGTAGGGTTTCTGAGGAGCCGCTGGTGAGTTTGAACAATTGACCTTGTGGTTCGAACTGACCTTGCAGGTCAGAACGGGACTGCAAGGTCGGTGGTTCAAACCCACCAGTTGCTCCTTGGAAACCCTTTACGGAGTCATTATGGGTTGGAACCGACACTTAACAACATATACATATGTCCTTGAAGAAGTCCTTGAAGGGCTGCTTTCAGGGGACCAGAAGGTGAAAGTCCCATGGATCAAGATCAGGACTATAGGAAGGATGCTTGTACAACTCAAAACCAGGTTTTTGCAGAGTGTCAAGAATGTGGGCAAATGTGTGTGGATATGCATTGTCATGCAAGATCACAAAGTCCTTGGATAGCAGTCCTCTTGGTTTAATCCTAAATTTAGACTTCAGCAATTTAGTGAGCATGCTACTGTAAGGAGCACTGTTGATTGTTGAACTTTTTCCTGACAGTGTTCCAATACTGGCCCTTGAGAATCCCAGAAACTGTAAGCAACAATTTTCCAGCTGATGGTTGATTTTTAAACTTTTTCTTAGTTTACCTTTTAATTTTTCTTGGTTGGTGAATGAGGATGTTTCCATTCCATACTCTGCCATTTACTCTCAGGCTCATAGTGGATGAATCCATGCCTTGTCACCAGCAAGGATTTTTTTAAAAGAAACTTTTATCTTTCTTCGAGTATTGGTCCAAATTTTGTTTGCAGATCTCCAAATGCTTCTGTTTCTGCTCCTCCTTGAGTTGTTTCGATTCCCATCTCGCACAAACTTGTCAAAATCCAAGTCCGTCATAGATTATTTCACAGGCAGGGCCATGGCTGATTTGCCACATAATTCACTGTCACATGTCTATTGGACAGAATCATTTTAGATATAAATATATGAAATCACCCAAAAGATAAAATGGAAGTCATGGTCAGTACCATCAGGCTAATCTAAATTACATGAAATTCAGTCTGTCATCAAGCTTTAAGGGGATTCAGAGATCATGAGGGAAGAACAAACCAGAGGGAGCTTTAATGGTATGAGGGGTTTTGGAATGCCTTCGCAATATGACCTAGGAATGGGCAGTACCAAGCCCTAAGGTAGAACATTTTGATTCTTTGTGCCTTCTACTAGCCCATTAGCACAACAGAAAAAAATACCCTCCACTTTGAAGGCTCTTATAAAAAGGAATCAATCAGTGATTGCCCAGGACGGGGAAGAAGGTCTTGGGAGAGGATAAGAGTGCTGCTACCTAGGAAGGAAAAATGGAATGACCACTGGATGTATCCAGATTTATGGCTTGGGTTTAATAGCGCTTGACCCAAGTTTAGCTTTTCCACTGTTCTGCATAGCTCAATAAGAACAATTTAAATAGACTATTCCCAGCAATGATGAATGAAAAACAATTTCTGTTTGAAGTGTTTGTGGGGACTTCAAAAAGTTTGTGGGGGGGAGGGGGGGCAAAAAAAGAGAATCTCTTTACTTTTAATTCCATTTTCCCATAAACTTTTTGAAGCCCCCTACTAATTCTGAAAATACCGTGCATATTTTTGCTAGGACAAGTGTGTTTGAGAGGAGTCAAGTAGTGCCTGAGTTAAAAATTTTTATTTATTTATTTTGTTTTTAGCTTCCATAACGTTGACCGAATGGCGAAGAGAATAGGAGAGGTAGAGGTGTGGGAGTCTGGGTAATAAAGATGAATGATCTTGCAGTAAATGTCTGATAGAGCACTTAATGAGACTAAAGGACAACAATAAAGGATGGAAGACAGAAGAAAGGTATATTTAAAAAATTCAGACACACTAAACAGGGGCAAGCAATTAAGGAGGCGCTAAACCAAGCAGTGTAACTTAGGCAATTAGTGCTAGGTCACTGGCCGTATGATAAACAGGGTATCCAAATCAATGCAGCACACCTTGGCAAGTTTATTTCTCACATTTGGTTGGGTGCCATAGCAAATGCCAATGCAGTAATTTTGCCCTATACAGTCTGTTCTTCATTTACATCATGAGTTCTACTACGGGCAGAGACTAGCTCAAAGGGACAGCTTCAGCTCCCTCAATGATCAAGTAGGCCATCATTTTGCTAAGGGCTCCTCCCTAACTAAAACATGAGAGAAAAATACAAGGCAGTCTTTCTTAAGAGTAGAAAAGAAAGTTCATAATTCCTATGACTACCTTATAACAAAAAGTCGCTTAAAAAGATGAAAAATTTTCAACTTCTTATTGTAGTACTACAACCACAAATCCCCATTAAAAAAGAAAAAAAGTCTGTGTTTGGGGTCGGGGCGGGGGGAGGACTAATAGGGAGAAAACAATACAAAAACCACGAGTGAAAAACTGTTCTTGAAAACTTTGTCGAATTTTAACAGTTTTCTCTTGGTTAAATTGGTACAGCAACATTATAAAATGACTATTAGGATTCATTGTGCACAACATAAAGTGCTGAAATGTCAGCCGACTATACAGCAAAAAGTAATGGGTTCTGAACCCCTGTTAGTCAAAAATGATTTTGTTTCAAATTAGAAATTGATTTTTTTTGGACACCAGCCCTTTCCAGGCTTCCAGCCTCTGTAGCTGGGGCCAGGAGAGATTAACCTCCACCACAGCAAGGGCTGGCCTGATGGCACCTTTCCCAAAGTGCCTTTTCAATTGCTGCTTTGTGATGTTGTTGTGGTCTTAACCAATAACACAAGTTATTTGTCCCTTTGCTATTACACTATATTTTTCTCCTTTTGCCATTTTATTTTAGTGCTGACACACAACATAAATTTGTTGACAAGTTAACAGAAGACTCTGTTAAGCCTTGCATTGTAACCACCAAACTACGCTGACTGATTTTCCACTCTCCAAAGTGCAATGACTAAGGATAGAGGAAGCCGAAGTTAGGGTTGTTTCCCTCTGAAGGATTATTAACAAAGAAGGTAAGATATTTATCTCACAGTAGGCCTCCTTGGTTTCATTTTTGTTTTTTGAAGCAAAGTCTAAAAAGAAGTTTCTGAGTTGTTCTAAAAAATGGAGGTCTGTGGAAGTTTTGCTTTGGTTCAAATTGTGGATAGTCTCCCTTCTGAAGTTTAATTAGACCTCTTTTCAGTGATCTGTAAGAGAATTGACAATTTCTAAACTCAACATAATGAAAACCAAAAACAAGGGACAAACGTGAAGAAGGAAGACCTGCAAGATCGTCTCACAAAGCACCTCTCCGTTCTCAACTACTACACGTGGGAGTAGCTACATTAGACAGGCTCCAGCATGTTAGCTGCTTATTATACAGGTAGAAAGATGCTAGCTCAGTGGAAAAAGAAGGCAAAAAGAAATCAAGGTTAATGGTAGGGAGCAGGAAAGAAAGATAGCTGGGAAAGAAGAGGAACTGGCCAAAATGGCTCAGAAACCCGTTTAGGTCCTTGGTTTCCTATGCTTCTCTTCTGTACAGTGAAGCTCAGACATACTCTATTCCTTCCCTGAAGGACACCAGCATAGATTAAGCCAACAGGCACTCTGGGAACAACTGGACGCACAATTAAATTTGATTGCTTCCTTCAACACTTCACACAACTATCTATAATTGATTTCTTTTAAAATATCCATGGCATATAAAATGGGAAGTTATTCTATAGCCTGTTAGGGAGTATCTGCCTAAGACTTATGAGGTTTTGTTTTATCCACAATGTGGAGGTACTCGTGGCCTCTGCTCAATCCTCCCCCATGTTTCCTGTGATTTAACTGTAGATGCTGGGGTTTACTTTCCCAGGAGAAATTTACATTCCATTTCCTGTCCTTTTTACTCACTATGAACATGATTTTGTGTCTATGACCATACTGTGGCTGAATAAAATTACTATACTCTGCTGCTTACACAAAGAAGGACAAAGTTTCTCATAGCAATATTCTAAGAGAAATGCAGGTGCAATTTCCTGATCTAGTAGACGTGTTACTTGTGGCCCTGTAGGCACATGCCACTTTTGTAACATATTTAACTCTTCATCAGGGTTGTAGGAAATCATCTGGAGTCCACTGGCCAGCAGCCACCATCAGCTAGCTGCCGAGAAGAGCTTCTCATTTTGTTCCCACATCTTACCTCTTTGGGGTCTACACGTATCCTTCCTTCGACATGTCCATAGGGCATCATCATCCATCTCTGACTGAAATCCAACTGTTTTCTTCCCCTTCCTATTCTCTCCACTGCTCATGGATTCTTGGAACTTTTTGATAGATGGTGATGTCCCAATCAGCCAGCCATCACGTTTTGACTTCAATACACTGAAAAGGACAAACACGAATGAGCTGTAGAGAGCAGGAATGAAGATAAAGATCACACAAAGGAGTTAAAATTCAGCGTGCACTGAAATGCAATGCATTGCATGGAGCACTTTCATTGTCTGATTTTTTTATGAAGGTAAAATTTAAATAATTTACTGAAGGTCTACAGTGTGTCCTGCCACAGCAATTGTGGAAAAGAAATGGTGTTTATCTGCACAAAGCTTCTATCTGGAGTTGGGGAGAAGAGACTCAGACCAAGAAACTGCTAAAAGAGTCACAGAGTAAGATTAAGAGCCAGAAGATATGTATACATTTAAAAGTATGCTGAATTTTCCATTATGGATTAAAATATCAACAATTTACCTAGAAATGCATTTGTGTTTCTCGTTTTCAATTTTTGTCAACCCAGAGTATATAAGAAATCGTGCATCTGAAAGAAGTAGATTCTGTTATCACATAGTTTTATTATAATGTCAACAAGGTAAGTATGGCGTAAAAGGCATTTTAACAAAAATGAGCACTTGTACACATGCTTTTTTTCTCTCCCTACCAAAACTCCCTCTTGGTAATCCTCCATCTTACTAAAGGATTTGGTTGTAATTTCCCTGAAATAAAGATGACTACATAATAAAAATGTTTTTTCTTTCTTCACTTGCATTTATTTGTGTCTCATCCTCTCAATGTCTCTGAAGAAAATTACACCTTTGATTCGTACACTTGATACCATCTTGATTCATGCCCTCTGAGACTCTGACCTGTCATTTATATCCTTTTCTTATAATTCAATCTCCTCTTGATTGGATTCTCTCCCTAGGATTATAAACAATATCAGACTTGCCATTAAAAATCAATGCCCAAAACTCTTTGCTTAATTGGAAAGGCATAATGATACCCCAAGTCAGGGAGGGCATGGGAAGACGAGTATTTTCCTGCATTGCTGGAGAAGCTGCAAATGGGAATAGCCTTCTTGTGTAAGACTCGTCAACACTCATCTAAAATAAAAATGTATCGACCTTCCTAACAATTCTGCCTCCACGAATTTATCCTTCAGAAGAACATGAATAACAGCATAAGAATAGTTGTAAAAGGATGGTTACTGCAGAATTATTTGTAATACTGAAAAAGCGAAGACAGATATCATTCAATAGGAGAATGGGAAAATAAACTATGATACATCTATCACACGGAATACTATTCAGCCATTGAAAAGAATGAAGTAGAATTTTCTATACTAATATGAAGAAAATTTATGACATGCTATTAACTTTTTAAAAAGCAGTTTGCAGTAATAGAATGTATAATGCAGTCTAATTTTTGAAAAACAAACAAAACTAAACAGAAATACTTTGAAAGTTCTTGATGGATGAACACTAAACCAGAGAGCTAACGTGGAAATACGGTGAAGAGAAGATTTTTATATTTTATTTTAATTTTTAATTCACATACATTTAAATGTCTTAATTTCATGCAATGGTATACTTTTTTTTTTTTTTTAACAATTAAAAACAAAAGCCTTCACTATTTCTCTTACACTATTATTCCCTTTCTCCTCCCTTCTCTGCCAAACTTCTAGAAAAAAGCTAGTTTTTAAAGAACAAATCTAATAGCTTTTTTCTCTTTTCAAGTCTTCCTAGGTCGCTTCACTGTAATGGACTCTTTGCTTGAAGCTTTCTTCCCCTGGCTTCCTATATACCATCATGCCTGCTTTCCTAGTATTAGGAGGCTCTACTGAGATTCTTTTGCAGGAGTTCTTCTACTTCCTCTTAAAGGAAAAATTTCTAGAAGATCCTGTCCTTTTCCACCTTCCCTTCTCCTTCAGCACTTCCCATATGTCAGTAACTCTTGCCACAGTTCTGTATAAATTCCTCTCACTCACAGTGGTCTTCAAATCTGCTGATCTGATCAGGCAGCTGCAGTGAAGGGAGATCTCATGCTGCCCAAACCAACTCGTACAAATAGACTGCATGCATTTGATTTTTTGAAACTTTATCTTGAAATTAGTTCCTCTTTCTGTTTCCATTCTCTATTAATGATATCATCATCCTCCAAGTCAGTTGTCTTAACAACTTTTGCTTTCCTTAATCCTATTAAATTAATGGCAAAATAAATCATTCAGCTATAATATTAACCAGAAATTTATTGAGTAAATATTCAATATGAGGCTGGGGTGTGATTGGGAAACAAATATTTATTGAGTACTTGATATATGCTAGTTGTCATGAGTCAGAATAATATGGTTTACTTTGCTGGGAATGACAAATTGAAGAGAAACGGTATCACATTCATCATTAAAAAGATCATTTCAAGATCTATCTTGAAGTACAATGCTGTCTGTGATAGGATAATAGCTATACATCTACAAAAAAGACCAGTTAATACCACTATTATTCAAATTTACTCACCAACAACTAAAGCCAATGATGAGGAAATTGAAGAATTCTACCAACTTCTTCAGTCTGAAATTGATCAAACATGGAACCAAGACGCATTGAGAATTACTAGTAATTGGAAGTAAAAGTTGGAAACAAAAGGAAGAACAGGGATTTGGAAAATATGGTCTTGGTGACAAACAAAGCTGGAGATCACATGCTGCAATCTTGCAAGACCAATGATTTATTCACTGTAAATATCTGTTTTCAATAACACAAACAGTGTGGCCTTCCCTAAATGAAATACACAGGAATCAAATTGACTACATGTGTGTAAGGAGCTGATGGAGAAACTCAATATCGTTACTCAAAACAAGGTCAGCTGCCAACTGTAAACAGACTATCAATTCCTGATACACACGTTCAGCTGAAGTTGAAGGAAATTAAAGAACGCTCATGAGGACCAAAATATGAACCTGGTATAGTCTGCCTGAGTTTAGAGACTATGTAAAGAAAAGATCTGATGCATTGACCACTAATGACGGAAGGTCAGGAGAGTTGTAGGATGGCACAACGAACATCATACATGTTGAAAGCAAAAGGTCATTCAAAAGACAGGGAAAAAAGAAAAAAAAAGTGGATGTCAAAAGAGATGCTCAAATTTATTGTTGAGTGTAGACTAGCTAAAGCTAAAGGAAAAAATTATTAAGTATAAGAGATGATCAGAAAGTTTCAAAGAGAAGCTCTAGAAGACAAAGTGAAGGCTAATAATGAAATGTATAAAGACTTAGAGTTAGAAAACCAAAAGGGAAGAAAAGGCTCAGCATTTCTAAACCTGGAAGAACTGAAGAAAAACTGAATCCTTGAGTTGTCCAACACTGAAGGAGTCTATGGGAAGCATCAAAAAAAAAAAAAAAAGATAAGGAATACAGAGTCTGTACTAAAAAGAATTTGTTCAGCCAGTTCAAGAGTTAGCATATGATCAAGAACCAATGATACTGAAGAAAAAAGTCCAAGCTGCACTGATGGCATTGGTGAAAAACAAGGCTTCAGGAATTGTTGGAATACCAATTGAGATGTTTCAACAAATGGATACAAAACTAGAAGCACTCACTTGTATATGTCAAGACATTCTGAAGACAGCTACCTGGCCAAGTGATTAGAAGAGATCCATATCTGTGCCCATTGCACAGAAAGGTGATCCAATAGAGTACAGAAATCACTGAACAGTATCATTAAAATCACATGCAAGTAAAATTGTGCTAAATAAAAGTTCAACAGTGGTTGCAGCAGCACATTGGCAGGGAGCTGCCAGAAATTCAAGCCAGATGAAGAGAATGTGGAATGAGGTCTATTGTTGCTGGTGTCAAATGGATAAAAACAGAATACCTGAAAGGTGTTTATTTGTGTTTTGTTGACTATGCAAAGGCATTTGACTGTGTGGGTCATAACAAACTATGCATAACATTGCTACAAATAGGAATTCTAGAATGCTTGGTTGCGCTCATGCGGAACCTGGACATACAACAAGAATGTAAACCTGAATGGCTTAAAATCAGGAAAATTGTGTGCCAGGGTTTTTTTCCCCACCATACTTATTCACTCTGTATGCTGAGCAAATAATCTAAGAAACTAGACTATATGAAGAAAAACAGCCTCAGGATTAGAGGAAGGCTCCTTAACAACCTGTTGTATGCAAATACACAACCTAGTTTGCTTGAAGCAAAGAGAATTTGAAGTTATTTTCTGATGAAGATCAAAGAATACAGTCTTCAGTATGGATTATACTTCAAATTTAAAACACACACACACAAACCCTCACAAATGGACCAACATACAATATCATGATAAATGAAGAAAAGATTGAAGTTGTCAAAGATTTCAATTTACTGTTCATTGAAGCAGCAGTCAAGAAATAAAATGACATATTGCATTGGGCAAATCTGCTGTTAAAAGACCTTTTTAAAGTGTTTACTCTAAAGAGTAAAGACAACACTTTGAGGATTAAGGTGCACCTGACCCAAGCCATATTTTCAATCACCTCATATACTAGCAAAAGTTGGATAATGAATCAATAAGGCCAAAGAATTGAAAACCATTTGGATTATGGTGTTAGTAAAGAATTGTGAACGCACCATGAACTGCCAGAAAAACAAACCTATCAGTCCTGCAAGTAGTACAGCTAGATGCCCCTTAGAAGAAAGGATGGTGAGGCATTCATCTCTTGTACTTTGGATATGTTATCTGGAGGGGCTAGTCTCTGAAAAGCCCATTATTCATGGTAAAGAGGAGGGTCAGCAAAAAAGAGGAAGAACCCAGATAAAATGGATTGTTACAGTGGCTGCAACAATGAACTCAAACATAACAATGGTTGTAAGGATGGCACAGGACCAGGTGGGATTCTGTTCTGTTGTGCGTAGGGTCACTATGACTTGGAACCAACTCAACGGCACCTAATAATAACAACATACTAGATATGGGGAAAAATTAATCTTAATCCCTACTTTACATAGGAGTCCTGGTGTGGCGCTGTGGCTTAATGTGCCAGACTGCAAAGCCGTTTGAACTGCAAGGTCAGTGGTTCAGACTCACCAGCTGTTCCTCAGAAACCCTATACAGGGCTGCTATGGG